GAGGATACTCGTGCTGCGGTATGCTTGGCTGCGACGTGTCGAAATCGCTGTTGGCTTCAGACAGGATCGAATGGCCTGACCCAGCAGTCAGGCCATCCTAATAATAATAATAATAATAATAATAATAATAATAATAATAATAATAATAATAATAATAATAATAATAATAATAATAATAATAATAATAATAATAATAATAATAATAATAATAATAATAATAATAATAATAATAATAATAATTTCTTTTGGTACAGACCTCACATAAATTTCTGATTGATAGATATGTGAAGTTTAACGTCCCAGAACCACCATATGGTTAAGAGAGACGCCGTAGTGGAGGGCTCCGGAAATTTCGACCACCTTGGGTTCTTTAACATGCACCCAAACCAGAGCACGCGGGCTTACAGCACACGGGCCTACAGCCGGCATCCGATCCCGCGACCTGTCGGTTAGCAGCCGAGTACTTTGGCCACTAGACCACCGCGGTGGGGCAGTTCTGCCTTCTTTCGAGGCAGAAAACTCCGTACCAGCGCCACCTTGTTCGGCTCCAACGGTAATCGGGCGATCTTTTTTTCGCTACGAGTGCAAGCAGCGTTCGCATAGCCTGATATATCGTGTTATCTCATCTCGTACACGTGGTGAACTTAGACGCGTGAACGTCACCTTTATGCGAACACCGGGAGAGGGCGGACTGTACGTGTAATCTTCAGTACATCCTGAAGTATTGGGAACACGCTGTCCTTCATCATCGTTAAGATAAAACACTGACATCTTTGTTCAGGTTCTAAGATTACTGTTACATTACGAACAAAAAAAAGTCTACGCATCTTCACAAAATGAATCGCGACGGGTGGGCGAAGCTCTGGGTATCGTATGGCTGAATAACTGTACGTTGCCCTGCATAATAGGTGGGCAGATGAGATTAAGAAGTTTGCGGGTATAAATTGGCAGCAGCAAGCGCAGGACCGGGTTAACTGGTGGAACATGAGAGAGGCCTTTGTCCTGCAGTGGACGTAGTCAGGCTGATGATGATGGTGATGATGATGATGTCCTGCATAATGTACATTGAGGGACATAAAGTCACGCAAAGAGTCGACGACAAGGCTAGGTCGTAAGGCCCATGATGTCTATGTTGAGGTCGCCGACTAGAATAAGGCCTTGTGGGCGTTCTATATTGTTCCGTCACAATTATGATTGCGGTTCATCTTCTATAAATTTTTTGTTCACACACACACACACACACACACACACACACACACACACACACACACACACACACACACACACACACACACACACACACACACACACACACACACACACACACACACACACACACACGCACACACGTTTTGACTATCGCAACAAGTTTGTGTATACCTCGACATCGGACGGTGTGATTTAAGGACAAGTACAGTTCCTAAGGTCAGTAATGTGTACGTTGAAGTCGGCGACTGGTATAATGAGTTTGTGCTTCCAGGCGCCCTTTCGTCGCAATTATGATTGATATTAGTATGTCGTTAACACCTTTCTGTGTGTGTGTCTCAAATCCACGCATGTTTCCGTGACGGACGTCGCGGACGTACAAGCCTCGGTCTATTAGGTGCTTCGCCCCTAAAAAAGGTGGCACGAATACTGAATGAGTACAAGAATTCTTCTAGGCTCGGAGGGCGATGTGCGACTGAAGCAGTCACCGCGCCGCCTTTGTTCTTCCACCTGCCCTGGTGGTCGCAGCGCTACGAGGTGTCCTCATTTGCTTTGCGCGCAGCTGACCGTGTGGTTGTGTCAGGCTTACAGGCAGAGGGCACGCGTTCCAAGCTCGCCCGAGAGACTGCGAAAAAATAGGCTGTTTTCTCGTGCCTGGGGACCGTGTATCAACATTCTGCTGCTTCCCACTATTCTCGAAATTTTCGTTTTCGACACACGCCGAAAGCTGGCGCCCCGAGACAACAGACAAGCGATGTCAGGACGCATCACGGCACTTACCCGTGCTGTTCTGCCAGGACTGATCAACGTCGGTTGCCGAGCGATTCGTTCTCAACACGACGAATGTCCTCTTGAAACACTTACAAAAGGAAACGGAGAGGTTCCGGTTGTTGTGTCACGACTCCTGAAATGCGACGCTCGAGAATGCCATCACGTAAAAAAACCCCGATTTCATTGAAAACGCCGCATCCACCGCGATGGCGTAGTGGTTCCGGTGCTATGATTAAGGCCCCTCAGGTCACGGGTTCGATCCCTGCTGCGGTGGTCGCATTTCGATGTAGGCGTAATGGTAGATGCCCGCGTATTGTGCGATGCGTCATTGCACGTTAAAGAACACCAGACGGTAGAAATCTCCGGAGCCATCCACTACGACGTCTCTCATAATAATATCTTGCTTTAGGGAGGTAGTATCCCATATATTATTATTATTATTATTATTATTATTATTATTATTATTATTATTATTATTATTATTATTATTATTATTATTATTAAAGAGGCGTGTCATAACGGGTGATTGCGGATCTGAAAAGTAAGCGTTCTTCAACGTAGGCCCCATCTAAGAACACGAGGTGTTTCCACATTCATTTCGCGACCACTGAAATGCTGCTTCAGCCGCGACCCGGCACTATATGCACTGTTCTTCAAACGCTTCTCGAACGAGATATACGAATAGCATGCTCGCTAATTTCACCAAGTGCCCGCGCGCACTTACCTTTATTCGCCAGATATAGAAGGTGCAACCTTTAGGAACCTTTAATTCCAACACCCCTTGACAGGCAATGTTTACGAAACCTTTAGTTATCCGCTGTTAAAGTGAAAGCGTCAAGCGATTGGAAGGAAGGAAGTGAGCGATGCACAATACACCGTCGTTAACACGTCACAAGGGCAAGTGATGTTTGAGGTAACGATGCACCGTCTTCTTCGCGATTGCCTTTCGCTGCTTCATTTCCGATTCGGGCCGTCACGTACGCAACCCTATCGCACATTATTTTCGCTTCTTTTCAGCACAACAGGTTAGTTATCGGTAAACAATATCAGATAACTGACGCATTTTCTATCTGTACGTTTACTCTACTGCATCGGGCCTATTATGTGTAACGCCTTCTAACTTCCATGGCGTGAACGAAGGCGGCCTTATTACGCAAACTCTGGAAGCAAGCTACGAGAAAATAAAGAGAGAAAAAAACAATGATCAAGCCTAACCAAATAATGTCGCGCGATTTGTGGCGCCGTGTAATGGCTACCCACTCGGCGGGTGCACAAATCGCCGCTGACGTAATTGGGACGAGCACAATATTCAATTACTTTGAGGCCAAGGCTGCAATGCACAGAAGAAGCAAATCATTATTTAGCTTTCCTTTTGTTTAAGTAGCATGTGGAAGTGTTATCAAGCTTCAGCTGTTACCCGCGGACTAGTCTGCTTCTGTCACGATTGTTTCATCGAGAAAGATGCCATTAGCTGGATTTTTATACTCGCATAATTACCCGTTGCACGTGTGAGCGCAACTTGATGCGTGGCGCAATGCGTCACCACCTGGCTTCCGTTTTGTTGAGCGTAGAATCATTATGGCGTTAGATCACACCAGCTGTATTTTCCGGCCGAAAATGTCGACGCAACTTACATAAGCGCCGGGATACCGCTAGAATCGCCGTACCACTTCGCCCGAGAAGCTCATGTTGTGTAGCTAGTACACTTTCTAAATTAATGTACTGTGAAAAAAAAGTTTTTTTGCTTAACTAAGGTCAAGGTCTGCATGACGGTGGCCTTCAAGACGGCACGAGGCGCGCGGTCATTGCCGCAACGCGTAAAACCGGAAGGGAATGCTTAATAGAACAGGTCAAAGCGGGCCCCGCCGCGGGCTCGGGGGGCCAGCTGGCTGTCACGCGGAAACGTTTGGCAGTACGCACACACCACCGACTTTCTCTCTGCGGCGCCGCCCAGAACCGGCTGCTGCTGCCGATGCGGCTAGCGTGCGACACAGCCTAGCGCCGTGAGTTCGCCGGCGGCAGTCGGAAGAGGTCCAGCCGCCGCGGAGCAAGAACGAGGTCTCGATCGCGCCGCCTCCTCTTCCACCACCGTTGACAAAAAGAGCGCCTCTCCCTTCCTCGGTGATCCTTCCTTCCTCCTTGGCGGTTCTCTAGCCTACTTTCTGAAGCAGCTTTCGCTTTCTATTTCAGGATTTCCCGCTGGCGCGATTGAGAACGCGCGTCGAGATGGGGGAAGGGAACAGCCGTGTACGCGCCCGGTGACGCGATAAATTTGGCAACATTCGCAGAGCGGCTCCTCTGGGAAGAGCAGCACAGTCTGCGCCCTTTCCTGCTCCGGCGTGTCTGACCGTGGGCTCCTCTTCACAGTCCGGCGACCAGGAAGGGAGGCCCCCTGGGCTGGAGGAAAAGGTGCATTCCGGTTGCCACCGGTGAATAGCACGCCCGGCCCGATGAGGCCCCACAATGGGGCCAGACTATCCACCGACCGACGGGACAGGATGCCGACACGTGTGCCGATAACGCTGTCCCTTTCGGCGCCATATTCGGCGCCCACCCGTTATCGTGATGCCCTTCCCCCTTCTCCTCGCCCATACGATCACCGCCCACGGCCCCGGAGGCCGAACGCAATGAAAAAGAAAGTCGTTGGGAAGTAGGATATACACGGCCACACTACTGGTGATGGAGCGCTGCTGACCCAGTATAAAGCGACAAACGAGCCCGGGCGTCCGACGACGACAACGGGGGAAACCGAGGAACGCCCAAGGCGGCGGGCGCCTTGGCCTAGAAGCCACACCGACGCGGCGCGGCACGTCTTTACCTATCGGCGCTATGCAGGAGAGTGGCGCGCACAGAGTACAAAGCCTGGGCCGATTACCAGCCGAACCAAACGGATGAGACCAGCAGATCGACGGTCTTACCACTGCGACGTTTCGGAGGGGGAAGAGGAGAACGGGGAGGGTCAAGGCCCTGTCAGGCCTCACGCGACACCACATCACGGGCCAAATATCCACCAGGCACGAGGATGAGGAATGTGCAAGCACTGGTTTATTTCAATGGGGCTAAAAAAATAAAGAAACCGGAACATGAACACGACACATGCACGCGCGCGCGGTGAACTATGTACAAGAGGACAGGAGAGAGTGAGGCGCATTGACACAGCGACACACCGACGACAATAGGTCCTTGATGGGTGGCGACGACGCGCTTATCATTGCTCTTTGCGTAGAAGGTAATTGCGGTAGTAGAAATCCGAAAATAGTCCCGTGAACAGAGCCGTCTCGAGCACCATGAAGTACGCCATGATACGCGGGAAGCCGCAGTCGTAGAAGATGGGAATTCCGCCGTGCACCATGAGGAAGAAGAACTGGATGATCTGCAGCTGGGTGACGTACTTCTTCCACCACAGGTTCGGCCGCAGCGACGGCCCCAGGGCGGCGAGGCCGTAGTAGGTGTACATCACCATGTGCACGGCCGTGTTAAGGATGGGGAACATGGCGACCTGGCCGGTGATGCCGTTGTTGATGTCCATCCAGACGGTGGACAGGGCCAGCGAGTGGTGCAGCAGGTGCAGGAAGCTGATGTGGCTGTTCTTCTTGAGCAACACAAAGAACACCGTGTCGAGCAGCTCGCCGACCTTCATGAGCATGTAAAACCAGCCGTGGTAGAGCAGAGGGCCCGCGCTGGACGTCGTGTCGGTGCCCTGGCAGAAGAAGTCGTAGCGCTGCAGGAGCGGCGTCGCGTCGCGCAGGTAGGTGAGCCGTAGCGTGAGGACGAAGAAGTAGACACTGAGCAGTACCATGACCACGTTGTAGGCCACCACCAAGGGCCGGATGGGGAAGGGCCTCCGGTTCTTCATGAGCGCCGGCCCGAGGCGTAACGAGAAGTAAAGGTAACCGGCCAGGATGGACACGATGACCGCCGGCGATCCCATCAGGGGCCAATGCCGCACCCGGGGGTCACCCCCCGAGAACAGCATGGACGACAGCGAGTGGTGCTGCGCGGGTATGTCCTCGGTGTTCGCCATGCTCGACTGGCCCAGATCGGGCCCCCCGCGCCTCTTATACGGCGCGAGCGTGCGCCAGCGATCGGACCCTCTCTCCCAGAGTCAATGCACCTTGCGCCGGAGAAAGCCACCAAGGCCGGGCTTTCCTCTTTTTTTGCCGAACTAGGCCAGCCGCCCATTTATAGACCCTTCCTGGGTCAATGTCGTTATGCAACGCCTTGTGCCCGGCACAGCCATCCCCCTCGCTATCCCCCTCTCCCCCCTTCCTACGTTTGTTATCGAAGGCCCCCGAATCACTGTTCCCCTCTCTACGGAAGGAATCGGATGCTAATGTGGAAAGACTGATCCGGTCATCGCCGAATGATATGCAGAAACGCAATTCACTGTGCAAAATACGTCAGTTTATTCAAATGCTTTTACCATTCGTCGAACGCGATGAGCAGTCGGTGGCAAATGAAGAACGCAAGCAACAGTTCACGATTTGCGTATAAAGCACGACGTAAGTTGTTGCTTGAGCAATATTCAAGACTGGTTAGCGATGTAGTGTGGCGTAAGCTGTGGCTGTTTTTGTTTTGCTTTTTTCGCTGCACGTTATTGCTCAAGCCAAAACGATCACTGTTTGCCTTGGCAGCAGCTATTTCTTTGCTGTTAATGGATGGTAATATTTCCAAATGCCCCTTAAAGGGCTGTGGAAGGCCTCTCAGTGTAAAGCTCTGGATTTATTCTGAGCAGCGCACAATCCCCTAACTAGCTCATAAAGCGTCAAGTGTACGACTGTTCGTTCGCGCCGGACCTTACGTAAACGTGGAGCAACATTGAAATCGCGAATTTCTACCAAGGAGCGGGGGAGCGCTTTTTGTTCCCGTGTTTTCACATTTAGCACGTCTAACCATGTCAACGTCATAGATAGCTAGACAAATAGAAGCTGAGGCATGCTTGCAAGCGAGCCTTTCTGAGGCATTTCGCAAACACCCGCCTAAAATACAAAAACATGCATAGCATGTGGCGCTACAATGAACGCTACGAAAAAGTGTAACTGTGTCCTTGAACTGAGTTGGAATGAAGATAGTGGTGATGCTATAATATAGATAGGCAACACTGGCAGTAAATTATTTATTTTTCAACGAGCATTAGCTGGTGATAACGGGCGCTCGTAGTATACGAGCAGTTACGTTAGTCTAAGTCTGGTGACATAGATCGCCTTTTTAGACGGGACTCTCTTAGCGGTAAGTTCGTATTTCGCGCCAAAAGTGAGACGATTTACCTTATACTGTGGGCGCAGGAGGCCACTTCGCGAGTGGGGGAGTACAGCCTCCCTCTCTCTGGCATTTTACCAATTTTCGATGTGTGCACACATACAAACTCACGCACAAGCATCCCCCTAATCTTGAAGCATCCCCCACGCACAAGCATCCCCCACCCCCTAATCTTGAAGTGAGTGACTGAAACAACTACTTGATTGACGATCCTGCACAAAGACGGAAGTGGTAGGGGAATCAAAGCGAGACACTAACGTGAAGAAAAATTTCTGGCAACGCGCCTGCGCACACGGTCAAAAATAAAATCCCGAGTGCCTCACTATACGGCGGGCTTAAAAATACCGAAATTGAAGTTTAAACCAGATCAATGCGGATTGGGCTAGTTTGCGCAGGTATAGTTTACCGCCCTGACAGATGTCCACGTAATCAAGTTAGCTCGGGCCACGAAGAAGTTGGCAAGCTTAACCTTTTTCCACTTATTGCCATTCGTGACACACCTGCGTTGATAAGTTTACCGAAAGGTAATCTCTCGTTTACTAATGAAGCAGTTCTGGGCACATGACAGAGTCGTTTTCAATTCTTTTGATGGCAGCTGCACGTCACAAGAGAGAAGCGTTGGGTGGAAATTAAGCACGCTTCCCTTACACAAAGAAGCCGCCATATAGAACTCTTTTCCATACGGTCGCCTCCCATCTGCAATTCTTATGAGTGGCCTGGTACTTCCATTACGTTTTTTTGCAATACGCCGCCAAGGGCATCTAAAAACAAGACAAAAGAAATAAGCGTAGACTGTACTGAAGGTGCAGTGCTAACGAGACAGAAGTGCTGGTGCGCACGTACGTAGTCAGTGACTTTTGCTGTTTGGCTAAGTTTTGCATACCTGCTACCTCTATGTCTTTTTAAAACGCGATGTAGTTGAAGAGCTCGTTTCGCAGATGTTCCGGCGTTGTCGGTTGTGAGTGAAAAATGGCCATCTTCTGCGTGACCGAAAAATAGAGAAAGATGCCAATAAAATGAATAATAATTCTTGCTCTCAGAGGGGATCGAACCCGGGTCATCTACGCGGCAAGCGGGCGTTCTACCACACAGCCACCCCTCTGTTTTTTTTTATTTTTCATTTCATGGTATTAATTTTAATGCATTTTTGAAATTGTAACATTGACGTAGTGATATTCACTCACCGACAATAATCACAGAACTACTGCACAAGCATTCAAAGGCTTACATGCATATATACTTTGCAAATCTAGAAAAAAGTTCTTCAAAATGTTGGTAAGGATGAGCACCTCATCAAGATAGCGTGCCAATCTGGTTTGAAGTCAAGTTCTTAGTAAAAGTCTTTTAGCTGAATCACGGTCTTGCATGCGTGTTTTCCACAGACTGTGCAGTCCCCCCAAAAAGAACATATCAAATGGCACTTCATCAAGACATCTTGGAAAAAGGTAACGCATACAAGGAAGTTTAAAAATTTTCTTTTTTAACCTTTTTGAAAAATAAAGTTTTTTCATTCCATTCAATTAACTTTTTTGAACGTATAGTGTGGGAATTAAGGTTCAAGTCTTTTTTAACGGGTCCTTGAAAGATGTCCCAAAGCAGAATGACATCTTTGCAGCTGATAAAGCAGTGTTCTATTTATTGTCTCTGGTACATCGCAGAGACTACAATTAACTGAAGAAACAAAAATACCATTATTTCGCAACCATGGTTCCACCGGCAGTGTATCTGTATGAAGTGTATAAAAGAAGGTTTTAGTATCAGGAGATATATACTTTTTCCGGACTCACTTTAGTACATCCTCTCCTGGAAGCTGGAAATATAATGAGCGGTAAATCATGGATAACATGTCTTTACATAGTATTCGGCGTGATACTGTGTGTGCGCGTTTCTATGGAAAATCGGACTCTGAGAAATCGCATGGCGATCAAAACTTCCTGCATAAATCTCCACAAACACAGGCATACAAATAAATCTGAATAAACAATCAAATTAGGTAAAGCATTAACAATCGTAATCTAGAAAATGATCATATTATGGAATGAGAACTGTCCCGAAGGTAGCAGAACATCGAAATTATTTGCCATAGATATAAATTAACTAATACCAGCCCTCCATTTCTTACTGACCTGAATAGGTTGTACCGTCTCATCGGTTCAAATGTCGAAGACCACACGAATGTTACGTAAGTATGATGAAAACGCTGTAAGATCGAGCACAGTTGTTAAGTTGCAATACATCGTAAACTTTTGCAGCTAAAAAGGTACTGCAAACTTCAGCTCTCCCAAAGATGGGAAGGCGATGCGGAACGAAAGTCCAGGCTTGTCGTTCAAGTTTTCAAACGCGCTCCTTCAACGTGCACTGAATCTGTACGCATCTAGTGGCACACCAAGGTACGTTGGTGGAATACAAGTCCAATTGATTCCCGTGAACCTGTCTGGCGTACTCCCACTTGATCCAAACCATAATCCCAACTTTTAGATGAATTCAAAGGAGCACTCGATACCATGCCGAATTTACTGGTTGTTGATCACACACCCTCAGCACTTCGTTTGTCCGAACAAAAGAAAGCTACGTCGTCTGCATACGCCTTAATCTTATTGCCTAATATATTAAAGCAGCGAATACTATTCGATCGTATTGTGATAAGGCACAGCATTTCAGGATAAAGTGAAAACAGCAGTGGGAACATAGAGCAGCCTTGTGAATAGATACCGGCATTTACAGGTGGCCATTAATAACTAGCCAACTTGAACAGTGATTGTAACAAAGTTTAAGACCTTCCAGCACAGCAAAGCCTACATTTGCATGCCCCAGAAGGGAAAAATGAAAGGAATGACTGACACGGTCGAAAGCTTTGGCAAGGTCAACCTGCAGCATAGCAAGCTGTCCTTGATAACAGTAGTAATACTGAAGATATGTTCGAGTGTTGTGTATTTTTGTCTGTATGAAGGGACCCTAATTTCACATGTCCGGTGAAAACCGATGAATATTGACATCACAAACCGTAATCGATTCGATAATGCTTTAGCAAAAATGTTGTAGTTAACATTTGACAACGCTATTGGCCCGTAACCTTCAACGGAACGAAGCTTTACCTTCAATATGACTTTTGCAAAAGGACCACGGGAGAGTCTTTGTGTCGTAACTTTTCCTAAATATGTCCAGCAGAATAGAACTGAGAGTCGTTTTGAATTATTTGTAAAATTCGGCAGGAGTACCGCATCAGGACCTGTTGTTTTCGACAGAGGAAGTTGATCAACGTCCTGCTCAATTTCCTCCAACGTAATTGGAATACAAATGATTGCGCAACCGTCTTCGGTCAGTGGGCTTGACAGGGAAACAAAATTTGCTTTGCTTTCGTCACCATGGTCATCATTATTTATTGTGAGGTAGAAAAAATGAATCCTCAGCCCGCACCATGAACATATAGCAGGCAATGCCAATTAGAAAAGAAAAATGAACAGTGCAGAGCCAAGAGAAATCTGCAGGGGGAAGGATGCGTAGGAGAAGCGGACTCCACCCGTAGTCGAACCAGAAGGAAAAAAAGCAAGAAACTTTTGTTTCGGTTGACAATGTTGTTCTTGTTGCTAACATGTTCGGCCGAATTTAATCTTCAGGGATGAATTCCTGCGATGGGCAGCTTGATGGGGCTGTCTTGGAGTTCTTGCTTTAGTTGTTTATTGTGAGAGTAGGAGTTTGTTGATTTAAACTTATCTTGTGAAATATCAGGAAGAGCACTAAACTACACTTTGTAGAACCTTTTGAATTACAAGACAATGTCCTGTTAAAGGAGCATAATAATCTGTTAAAGGAGCATAATTAGAATGCACACCTGGAACGAACTTGGACATGGCGTGATGCCACTAATCAAGTATAAAGCTTGACGCGTCGGTTTCTCGGAATTA